AACCATAGACAATATCGTGGTTTACTTGTAAGAATAACAAGTGCATTGCATAGGTTCGAGCTTACACTATTTGACAGTCACATTTTTTGCAGTAACACTCATTTATAAACCTCTGAATTGCTCTTCATTATTTACTATTCCATCATTTTATTCATTTATTGACTGTCAGTTGTATCGAATCTATTGGCTAAGCAAAAATGAAATCCTAATGTGGGTTCCAATATTAAGGATATGGTGTATATATAAGAATTGTGGGCAATGGTGACACTAGAAATTTGCCCTAAAATACTCATGTCAGTTACTAAAGATAGGAGATTGAACGGTTTTTGTTTCATTTCTAGTGTGAAAGGGTTAGAGGTGGAAAAAGAATGTCTTGTAAGCAATAATGCATCAGGTTTAGTTGTAAAGTTTATATTTTGGCATGATACCACTGAACCAGCTTCTGACTGTTTAGGTCTATACCTAAACTAGAACTAGCTTTGAGAATTCTCTAACTCATTTTTTCTCTTCCAGCTACATTTTCTTGTGTGTTTCAGAATCAAGAACCTTCCCTTCTGCCCTCAAGTTCTCTGTCTAAACATCTTCCTAGTAAATCTTCCATTTGTACCAATGTATGAGTAGAACTCCTTGAATACCTGTCTCCTTTCCACCTCCTGAACCTTGGGTACTGCTTTCTGGTCTATCTTCCTTTGATACCAAGTTAGACCACTTCATTAGTCCAGTTCTTTCGACTGGGAACTATCTCTGTTTCCATAATAGCATGGGGCAGTAGGGTAGGAGGCATGCAAGGCAGGCTGGTGCCCCAGTCACAGCTAAAGTAGGCCTACCTCCAGCTAGAACACGGGCTGGGTTTCTATATAGAATCACCAAATGGTGGCTTTGGATGGACACTGAGGTCAGGGTACTGGACAAATAAGCACCCAGGATGGAAGAAGTGATGAAGATGAAGACAGAGAGTTAAGGTGGTGGGGAGATAAGCCTATCTCCCCACCACCTTGAGTTTGGACTCAAGGATGTGAGGAAGAAGAGGTCAGCTACAAACAGAAGAAGCTGCACGTTACTGTCATTGTATTCTGAATCCAAAACCAGAAACACCGGTAACAGTGCAACTAAGTGGGGGGAGGGGCAGAGAGAGAAGGAGAAAGAATCTCAAGCTGATTTCCTCCCCTCCCCCCAGCTGAGCAAGGAGCCTGTCATGGGGCTCCGTCTCATGACCCCAAGATCATGACCTGAGCCGAAATCAAGAGTAAGATGCTTAACCGCCTGAGCCTGGCCTGAGCCACCCAGGTGCCCCTCAAAGCAGATTTTTAAAAAGACTTGTGAAGGCTGTGGCTTGACTTATAATGAAGCCAAGTTAATTATTTTCTTATGTCTCAGGCCTGACTAACCCAGGGCCAGGACTTGGCCAAAACACTTGACCCCCAACACTGGCTACCTCTCTCAAAAGGCTCTGTTTAAATCAAGGCGGATCTCTTCCTGTTATTTCAAAGCACATGTTCTTTTGGCAGAGGGTTAGTAATCTCATGCTGTTTTAGAAAATCCACGACGTTACTGGAGGATTTACTCTGAGCTAGTGTGTGAGCTTCATGAGATTTGATTTTTAAATGCTAAATACTTAAAAATGCACGTTTTACTTCTTCTGTCTGAGGTGAGGCTTTTAAGGAGTAATAGACCCCACAATAAAAGCCAGCGAGATTCCTGTTGTCAATAAAAAAGGGATTTGCGTGAAGTGCTGCTTTTTCTTAAGAAGCACTTGTGTAGAGCATCACTTAGCAACACACAAATCAGCTTTGACACCTTATTCATCTTTAATATTCAGGTTCAAATCAAGTCTTTCCAGTGATGGGACAGATGGAGTCTTTGAAACCAAGCAAGTGAAAGGTGTCACTTCGTAATTTCCATCTTTAGGTTGGCAGCCCCATCAGAGTTTTCATTTTATAACATTTTGGAATCGGAATTTTTTTTCAATTCTCAGATCTAAATTCCTTAGCATGTCGTGTAGGGTCCGTCATGGGGTGGTTGCTACTTCTGTCATAACCTCTGCTGCAGCCAAATCAAACAGCCCAGTTTCCCAAACGTGCTGGGTTCTTTGATGGCACTATTCCTTCAAGCCCATGTTGTTTCTTTGCCTTGGGAAAACTCTTTGCTGGCTAAGTTCTGCTAATCTTTCTAGATAATTTTGAATTCTCAGGGACCTTGTCTCTGATTCTTTCAGGTTGAATTAAGGGCAGATCTTGGTCATAGGGCGTTAATACTGATTTTAGTTGTTTGCTTTTCTAATATGTAACTGGGAAATTTTGAGGGACAGGAATTCTGTCTTTTATCTGTATAGCCCTATCCTTTCTGTATGTTTCATTTATCTGACTTTCTTACTATCTGTGGCAGAAGTGAGTCTTCTCTCCCTGTGAAATAGTAGTTCTTTATTACTGAATTTTTGACCAGAGGCTCAAGGTAGTCATTTATGAATTTAAGTTATCTTTGGAATTGTTCATACTGTGTCAAGGACTATGCTGTTTGTTTATTACTATTTTGGAAGGATATAAGAGTCAACCATCAGAGAAAGAGTTATACTAGTTGTACCGTTAAGTGGAAAAAATCTGGAGGAATAAAAAATTAAAGCAAGGATTTCTGAAAATGCAAGGTAGCAGGGAGGCTATACCATGGTTTTATAAAGGTTTTCACAAAGGAAGCAAAATTTAAGAGTTTCTTTATGAATACATATTTTTTTGGTTGGTATAGAAAAATTGAAAGTGACTCAGTGATTAGGGTAACCCCATCGATTTATATATCTTAAGCTCAGAAAATATACCTCAGTGATTTGCTTCCAGAAAGTACCTTCTGCCATAATAGAAGGCAGATACTGCCACACTCCCTAGTGAACTGGTGTGTGTAGATTTCTGGAGTCTTTACTTTATTCTTATCTTTAAAATTTCACTGTTTTTTGTTTTAAAATTTAATCCGTTTAAAAACATGCTGGAAATTTCTTAAAATAATTTAAATGAACTCCAATTTTAGAACAACGCTAGAAGTGTTAAGTTAGTCTTATATGTGGACAACATATTTTATATCTAGAGCCCCTATACTGTATCTCTTGAAATAGGATCTAAAGGTATTCCTTTTTCCTTTTGTTTTATTTGGAAAATACTGAAAAGTGAGCAAAAATTAAAAGAAAAAAAACCTCTTATTTGAAAGTGGAGTAGGATATTATATTTAAAAAAGAAAAGAAAGCCTCCCAACCATCTAGTCCCATCCCAAATGGTAATCTTTCATAAATTGACTTCTTTCTAAAGGTATTTATAAATACTGTTGTTAAAACAATGTAGTGATATGCTGTCTGCTATCTTTTATAAAAGCAACTTTAAAGCTTCCTTTCCATACTAAAACTAGCTTTGTTCTGCTCTGATCTATCACTATTTTTTTTTTTTTACAAAAGCACATGAGGCACATTGTTTTAAAAAAGTCAAACAGCTAGACATGTAATAGAAAGTGAAAGTTTCCTTTTGTTGTTGGGAGTAACTGGTCAATATGTTGCTATATGTTCTAGATAACTGAACTTCTGGTTAAATTATAACTCCTTTTTATACAAAAAATGGGATCGTGCTTTCCACTTTGTCACTTATATTTTTCATTCATGAACACTTTATTTCATAGCTGCTCTTCTTTATTACTACATGGAGGTCCATCCCAAGCTTTTTACTGGCTGTATAATATTTCACAGAATGGATCTACTGTTAATAAGCTGGTTGTCCATTAGGTATCTCCAGTTGTTTTTTTATTACAAATAATGCTGAAATAAGCATTTTTGTATCTTGTATACAAGTATATATCTATAGGGTGATACCCAGGTAGATACACTTGGTTGGAGGCATTGCACATGTAAAATTTTGCTGTATAATTTAAAAGTTAATCTTTTCTTCAAGACTTTCAACAGTATTTAATCATAAACAAAAGTTCTGATTTGAGAGTAAACTCTTTTAAAAAGGAAAGGTGGATTCCTTTCTTGAGGGTCTAATGAGACAGTATTTTTGACAATATTTTGACAGGATTTTTTGTCATTTTTTTCCCCATGTTTTAGCCTGAATTTTATTTGGAAACTCTGAGAGAAAATACCCCTTGGTCTTTCTATTGCCTCAGAAAATAAATCTATGTTCTTATTGGTAGCATCTCCTTGATAATGCTGTTATTTCCCTGTATGTTGATATTCCTTATGATGAGCCACAATTTTAGCTTAATTCTATTCTGTCCAGTATGACATAGAATAGAATGAAAACTATTTGATGGGTAATCTATCTTAAAAGAAATGCAGGATAAAAATTTTAAACCCAGACTGTCATTTTGTTTACATATCTTAAGTTCTTTTCCTGTAACCTTGAAAACAGTTAAAATTGTGCCTTATTGAATAAAAGAAAACTTACAGATGAAGCACATTTTCTGGTTCTTAAAGGATAATCTAATTGAGGCTCTATACACCTTGCTTTTAGGTGGTAAGAGTAGGTTTCTAAAGTTGTGTGTTTTTTCATGCTGCCACACACAATTATGGATTTAGTAGTCTTTTAGGTACTCTCTCTGTTGATTCAAGTTTCTTCACCTACATCTTTGAGTCCAGTTCACTCCAGCTGTCTTTATAGACGTATCAAATTGCTATTTGAGAAATACCTTAAGATTTCAAATTCATATGTAAAAGACAAATGGGCTCACAGTCTTTTTTGTGCTGTTGTTGTAAGCATCTAAGAACCTCAATAAGCAACTCATGTATAGTTGTATAAACATATATTGGAAGATAGGTATTTGTGTTTCACATAGAACTTTAATATAATTTATCTAATTTAATTCATATAACTTAAACTTTAAGAAAATGACTTTTAAAAACAATTCTCAGATTTCATAGTCTTTCTGACTTGTAAAGGTTTATCTGCTAATCTCTTTATAAGATATTATATTTCCAAGGAGATGATAGTAATTTATTTTACAGATTATTTTGTTTTCTCTCCTTTTTACAGAAAACAGCCATCGTTATGGGTCCAAGGAGACATTTTCCGATCCAAGCTGAAAAATAGACCATCCAGTGAAGGAAGTATTAATAAAATTCTTTCTAGCTTGGATGATATGTCTATTGGTGCAAACTTATCTAAAATACAAAACGTGGAAAGATTTGGAGAGGTGAGTTTTCCTCAGGAAGATTTTCATGTCTCCTTAGGACTACTGTTCTGCATTTCTTTGTTTCCCAGTTGAACATTTATAACACAGAAATATCTCTTTTCTGAGATGCTGAAAGTACCAGTATTTTTAGGTGTAGAATCATCCACCTGTAAAACAAGAATCCATAGCAAAGAAAGAAATTATCCTTAAAAAAAAAAAGCTGTAATTTAAAGAGCACAATTATAAAGGAGGCCACTCTGGTTTGGAGAACATGTACAAAAAGGAAATAGAAGAGCAAATTTTCTATTTGAAGATGAAAGTGGCTATAAAGAAGAAAGAATTAATGTGACAATTGAAGAAACAGTACATGCCACAAGTGGTTTTTTGAAAGTCTCAAATTCATATTGATTTCTAAAGTCCAGAGTTGAAAACATAATTAGGGACAACTTTTTTTTTTTTTTAAATTGAGTTTCTGTTCTAAACAAACCACTTTAAACGGCTGACATCTATGGTCTCATTTAGTCTTTACAACTAGCTGGTGATAGGTAATATCAGCAATATTACGTAGGCAATATGATCTCTACTTTATAGTAAGGAAATTGAATGTCAGGGAAGTTCTAATCTTGGTGATTCCAATCCACATCCATCTGATTCTGAATCTGTGTTTTTTCTGTTATACCGTGCTAACCTAAAAATGGAAGTGACTTACAACAGGTAGGATCATGGGCATTTTTGGAGCTGGAAGCAAGCTTGAAATCATTTGTTCTCCTTCCCCTCTCATGCGGATCAGAAGCCCGAGGCCCCACTGAATCCCATGACTTGCTAAAGGTCATGGCGTTGTTTAGTAGTGGGACTACCTTGAGACTGGGAGTCTCCCTCCTGGTTTAGCTCTTTCTACCACAGTATGCCTGAGGTAAAACTAAGCACTTAGTTTGTAGTTTTATTTTTATATCCCTGAAGTAGCAAAAGGAGCTGTTAAAAATATTTAAGCAATGGGGAGCCTGGGTGGCTCAGTCGGTTAAGCGTCTGACTCTTGGTTTCAGCTCAGGTCATGATCTAGGGGTCGTGGGTTGGAGCCCCATGTCAGGCTCCCTGCTCAGTGGGGATTCTGCTTGAAATTCTCTTCCTCTCCCCCAACTCAAATAAATAAATAAATCTTAAAAAAATATTTAGGTAGAAAGTGTGGATTTGCATTCTATTAGGCGGTGACCCACTGGACCTGGACAAGGGTCTTGAGCAAAATACTGTGGTTCAAGTTTGGCCCTCGGGGAACCCAAAATGGAACAAGTGGCATGCCAAACAGGTTTCGTTCACCAGGAAAGATAACCAGAGTGCTTGGCAATAGGGAGAGTGGGCTTTCTTCAAGGACGGAGGATGAAGACTGCCATAAGAACCAGTTTTTCAACCCTGTGGTCTCTACTCCAGGACAGCCTCTGAAGAAGTGGCTAAGTTTACTTTTGTGAATCATCTGTCCTGACAAAATGTAAATCTTAGCCAAGGTCATGTTGATGTTCAGAGCCTTTGTTGACTTTTTCTTGTCTCTGTGTTGTAGTCTGGCCTATTCAATGCAAACAAAAGAATCTGAACTGACATTTTAATGTGATAATATAGCTAAGCAAGAGTACTTTTCTTGCTCTGGTCAGCATTTCCTTCTCACATTTTGTTCAAGTAAACAGTGCTTTGAATTATGACCTCTGAAAAGATACACATACAATTTATCCATCTCTCTGGAAAACATATTTATCTTATAGAAATATAATGTTTTCTATATCATAATCCATATTAAACGAGTATCTGGTAGTTAGAACATTTTGTTCTCATACTTTTTTAGATCTCAATTTGTTGAACTTAAGACTAATTAACATTTATTTATCACTGAAGAATGAAATATGAAATTTAAAATAAGTAAGTTTTAAATACGAGCATGTATTCAGATATTGGGCTATTTCTCTTCCTCTTTCTTATTCCCTGCACCACCAAATTAATTACTTTAGCTCTAGCCATTCAGAAGTGGTATGATTTTTGAAATTAGAGCACAGAAAGGCAAGAATTCAGAAATAACACAGAACGATGGTGTGGTTAAGACTTCAGACAGTGACACATATAAAGGTTTTGGACTACTTTATAGTTAGGTGATGCATTGCGTTAATAACACTTTTAGGCCCTTTTCTTGCTATGCTTATCTGGTGCTGGCTCCAGAACGTTTCATGAATATGGGGAATTAGTTTACTCAAAAGTGAATGTAATAGAGGTAGTGATATCTTTGTCGTTCTTGTTAATTCTAAGTGGGAAAATAGGTTGAGAATGCTGCAAGGATTTTAGTATGTTTCAAGTTCCATACCAGTGTTCAGGATAGAAACCCATGGAAGTTCTGGGTTTATTAGTTTGTACATAAAGAAAGTGCAAAAAGGCGCTATTCTTCTAGAGGTTGCCTTTTTTTTTCTTTTTAGAAGTAATGTCAGATTGAAAATGAGATACTAAATTATTTTTCTGATTTCTAGGCCTACAGGGATTTTCCTGGGGTTGGTTATTCGGAAGCTCTATAATTACTTGATTGGGAAGGTTTGAATATATAGTCTTTCAGTGCCCAGGAGGTAGGTGAAGAGGCAAAAAGGATTAACCAGAAGGATTCAGGCCACATTAATGGACTAGGCTGCAGCTGTAATGAATACTCTTCGCCTACCTAGAGTTATGAAAAATCTTTTATAAATAGAGGCTTCATCTTGACTGAAGCTGGTCTTCAGTGCCAGGCTAGGTGCTATGAAATATACCCGGCCCATCCTGTGGGTCTAGCTTAGGCTCGCTGCTTTGTGCTCCTGCCTTGCACTATAGTTTTCCTCCATTGTCCTTAACACCTTCTTCGCTGCCCGGCAATACATGCTGTGAAGATAGAGACTTCTATCAGCCCTCGTCAGGAGCCTATTCCTAGCCCACAGGGTCTTCATAAATGTTGCTTGAAAGAATGGAGAAGGCTTATGGTTTCATAGAAAACAAACAAGAAAACAGACATGAAATTGGTAATAATCCAAGCTATCCAAGGGTAGTCTGTGCTCAAATACAAACTAGTACCAGCAATAAGTGCTCACTCAGACATGCCAGGGCCTAAGGGTCCATCATGCACTGGGGTTATAAAAAATGGCTTTAAGAAGATGGAATTTAAAATTAACACTTTATTTAAGGGGCCGATGCTTAAGGAGTTAAGTGAGGAGCTTAGAATGTAACAACAACCTAAATAGCATCTACTAGGTGCCAGGCACTGTTCTAGGTGCTTTATAAGGATTAACTTTTTTTTTTAAAGATTTTATTCATTCATTTGAGAGAGAGAAAGCATGGGGGGGCGGTGGGAGCAGCAGAGGGAGATGAAGAAGCAGACTCCCCGATGAGCAGGGAGCCCGATGCGGGGCTCGATCCCAGGACCCCGAGATTATGACCTGAGCCCAAGGCAGACGCTTAACCAACTGAGCCACCCAGGTGCCCTTACATGGATTAACTCTTAATTCTTATAACAGCTGTATGAAATAGGCACTGTTACTGGGCCCTTTTTAACAGATGGCATAACTGAGATAGCGAAAGTTAAACTGTCTGCCCAAGATCACAAAGTATGCAGTGGTGCTGGCAGTTAGACGCAGGTGCTCTGGCTTCAGAGTCTCCTCTCAGCCACCCACTTTGAGGCCTCGCTCCATACCCTGCTGTCTCTCCATGAAGTCCTAAGTGTGGCTTTAGTAAGTTTGAACATAACCTTAGCCAGCCTGTCCCAATAAATTTCTCCTGGAACTGTGATTGTTGTTAACTTTTCCTTCTCCAGGGTGATAATCCAATATTAGCACACTTATCGATCAGATGCTCTTGACTTAGAGATATTAATTAGGTACAGGTGCTGCTGCTATTCAGCCAAGTTCACATAAATTGACAGGTAAGTAAGAATGTAGTGTTTTAATTAATTAATTAATTAATTAATTTTTAAGGATTTTATTTTTAAGCAATCTCTACACCCAACATGGGGTTCAAACCCATAACCCAGAGATCAAGAGTCACATGCTCCACCCACTGAGCCAGCCAGGTGCCCCAAGAATGTACTATTTTTCCCCCCACCCCCCTCCCCTCTAGAACCCTCAGTTTGTTTTTCAGAGTCCATCGTCTCTCATGGTTCGTCTCCCCCTCCGATAAGAATGTACTGTTTTAATTACATCATGGAGATACTGTGATTTATAAAATCCTTTGCTCTTTTACATCAAACGCCCATATACAGGGTGCATCTTAGAAAAAAATCCATGATGTAAGAAATTAACTCTCTAAGACCCTACTTTCAAGCACTGTTCTTTCTACTCTTGGGACCACTATGGCATTCCATTTCCAATCTGAATGCCACTGGGATCCTGGAGAGGCTCTAGGACAGGAGAGTGATAATACAACACAGAGCCAGGGTTTGGGGAGACTGCTCTGGCTGTGAGGGAAAGGGGTGCTGGGGTCTGTGTTTGGCCAGGGGTGGGAGGCCAGGAAGTTGGCGTTGGGGGAGTGGTCCCAGGTTATAAAGGTCTCAACCGGTGGCAGTGAGGAAGGAGAGAAGACGGACTCGGGGACCCAGATAAATCCAAATTTTTTATGATCAGAAGCAACTCGTTATGAAGAAGACATCTTTGCCTTTCCCCAGCTTTTATACCTCACAGTTTCAGCATCTGAGAGCTGAAAGAATTTTGGAGATGACCCAGCCACCTTTCCTAGCCAAATCACTTAAACCTGCTAAAAATCCATTATCATCTTTCTCTTCCAATCCTTTCACTTCTATTTTTACTCATTTCTATTTCAAACTCTCTTTTTATGTCATTTTTCTATTATAACTCTTCCATCTTTTTTCCCTAGTGTGCTATATTTTATCTAATAGATTTTTTTCTTAATGGCACACACTGTAGCCTCCCCAGTAGCTCACTCTGTCACCATTTGATTAATGCGTTGGTCAGTAATTACTCTATCCAACTGAAACCCATGAGTGCCTTTTATTTTCATTTTCATCTTATCTATAT